TACAGTATACATATTAAGTTTTTATTATTATTAAGATTACTGATATTTTTGTTTTTATTTTTGCTATTTATTTTATTCTAATAGTTATATATTTTCTAGTTCATTGTTTTACAGTCATACCTGGATTCATTCTCTCTGACGTGCGGTATACTTGCGGGCTAACACGAGGCTTCACTTTATTTCCTCCCAGTGATGAGTCTGATGTCGACCCTCGGCCTTCTCTCAGGACTTCCCTGGGGATGAATATCCGATCACACGATGTGGATGGTATTGCAGCCTCGAAAGGGTTTGCACAGTTCGGTACTACACAACCAACGAATGGAAATAGCGTCGCTTATACTCGTAGCAATCGCCCACGGGCATCGGAGGTATGTGGCATGTACGGACATAGGGTTTGTCTAGATTATACGAACTAGTGTTTGCGTATACGAGCGTGTATATGCGTATATGCGTATATATATATATATATTTGTGAGTGTGTGTGTGTGTGTGTGTGTGTGTGCGTATATATATATATATATACACTTATATTTATATGTACATATATTTATATATACATATATATATGTATGTATGTATGTATATATGTATATATATATTCATGTATGTATATACCGTTGGAATATATTCTACTAAACGGCTCGCAGATATGAGTGATTGTAGCGGCCCTGCACATACTCTGATAGCTCAACACTACACGGCCCAGAAACTACAGGCCTATCTATAGCATTCAAGGCAATCACCCACGGCATATACCGGATGTCCCAATGCGTGTGAGTGTATGACGTTCTATGTGTGTGTGAATATAGGCGCATGGTTACGATCAACTTTGCTTATGCTAATATACATGTATAATATACATGTACCTGTGATGTGTATGCCTCCTCGTACATGTACTGAGGGGTTACCAGTATGGTGTGCACTGTCTGTCTGGCATCCGCTCGCCTTTCGTATCAATCGGCCCCGCCCTAAAACCATGGTCAACAGGGCTGCAGGGCTTAAAGTGCATCAATGTGCGTATAAAACTCACGAGTACTTACTTGATTGGCACAATCTTCTTGGGGTTTAGGGTTTTATCTCATCTATTGTTCTTTCCGTATGCCCTATTCCTTCCCTTGTATATTTATACTTTCTGTATTGACATCTTCTATGTTTTTTTTCATGTTTTTTTTCTCGTTTTTTTTCTTGTTTTTCTCGTGTATTTGCACGGCAGATGTATGCCAGTTCTGCACAGCAGTACGGAACATCGAACGCCGCAACCCGTCCAGAGCCACACATGTAAGTCAATGGCGTGCATACATATACATTTGTCAACAGAAATAAACTCATGACATTATGCACATGCAAGTCACTGGCTTGCATACATATACATTTGTCAACAGAAATACACTCATGACATTATACACATGCAAGTCACTGGCATGCATACATATACATTTTTCAACAGAAATAAACTCATGACATTATGCACATGCAAGTCACTGGCTTGCATACATATACATTTGTCAACAGAAATAATCTCATGACATTATACACATGGAAGTCTCTGGCTTGCATACATATAGAATTGTCAACAGAAATAAACTCTTGATATTATATACATGTATATATTTCTATTTCTATTTCTATTTCTATTTCTATTTCTATTTCTATATCTATATCTATATCTATATCTATATCTATATCTATATTTATATCTATATATATATATATATATTCATATATATATATATATATATATACATATGTCTCAAATCCTTAAAAAAAAATCTTGCGAATACAGGGAGAGCTGGGAACAGCGCTTAGCTGAAATTAGGAGAGCCAGAGAGGAACGAGGACCAGGTAATCTATGCTTCATTCTTAAACGGTTCAATATCTAAATTGCGGCACAGACTTCTCAAAGATTGGATCTCGATTCAATTTTACAGTGCCATACGA